CAGGGCCCCACCTTGCAGTTTGCCCGCTGACCACATGCCGAAAGCACGGTGGCTCAGCATTGCACTGGGGCAAACAAATTTTTTTTTTTGTTACTGCTACAGATGGAGCTCTCAGATAGCTAGAAAGTGTCATTACCAGTTATGGTGCACAGGAGCCACAGAGAAGTAATTTCTATTCAAAATATTAGCCTATAAATTACAACCCCAAATCAGAAAAAGTTGGAACAGTAAAGCATTTGCCATGGTGTGATGTTGCCATTCCCTTGCACAACACTTAAAAGATGTTTAGAGATTGAGGACATCGAGTGAAAGAACATCACAGCCTTTGCCAAGTTTGGACCGAGATGTCAGATCTGCGGCTGTCAACTGAAGCTGGGAGTCCTCTGGTGTTTATGATAGCTTCATGTTAGCTAGCCTTACCAGCCCCAGGCTCAGTGGTCATGAAAAGAAGAAGACAGAGATAACTGCTTGAGCAGGGACTTTCTTTTGCTTTGACACAGCAAACATAATATTTGCCCTCTTATGCTTTGTAATACTGCACTGCAAGCGTATCTAGATGCTTTTATTTTAGCTAACTACTGTAACTTTCTTCCATCCTTAGTAGCATGTACATTATTGCACTGAGCGCTTCCCCAAAATAAATAGCACCGCTTCTCATGTCGCAATCAAGTTCTTAAAGGGGAGGCCTGACCAGTAACACAATGAAAAAATATCCACAGTGCATTGAACATCACTAATGTTTGTGTCAGCTGCTTTAGATTGTATGATCTCAATCATTACGCTGATCAGTCGAAGTGAGGATACACTCTTGGGGGAACAGTGGGCGCTGTGTGTTATCATGTGAAAAGGGCCCATTTTTGTGCAGCGAGGCACAGTGTTGTAGGTTGCCAGAGTTATGTTTGTTTCACTAGCAGCGTGTGTGTGGTGAGTGAGTTATGTTAATGCTCACAGGATGAGTGGTAAGCGTCTAGTGTGGTAGTTGTAGTGTAGAAAGGGCTTGTGCCCTCTCGCTCTCAGCTAACGCTGCTGTCTAACCCTTTTTGGGTGAAAAGGAGGCTGAGTGCATAAGTCCTCCCTGTCAGTACATAGCCTCTCCACCAGGACCCTAGCTATGCCTCTTCGTGGCACCACACATTGACTGGGTACCTTGTGGCCCCAGGCTAAATAGCTAGGGATCTCAGAGGAGCTTGGCCCCCAGAGGTGAGGTGTGGAGGCCCACCAACGTGTGGACAAGCCCTGGTACCTACCGACCAAGCCCCATCTATGGGTTAAATAGACAGTGACCATTCTGCAAATGGTGAGTGATCTGTACATTCGCCAGAGGAGGGACATCGAAGTCCCTAAAGGCAAGGGTGGAGGAAGTGCCATGGCACGGTCAGCAGAATAGGCATTGCTCACACCTGGTGGAACTCACAAAGGGCAGAGGACAGCCAGAGCAGTACTGAGAGGAGTTGTGCCCCCTTAACAGCATTGATAGGTTTAATGATGGCAATACCAACAGGAGTGACTGGGGTAGCCGTTGTCACGCCTGACTATGAGTTGTGCCCCCTTAACAGCATTGATAGGTTTAATGATGGCAATACCAACAGGAGTGACTGGTGTAGCCGTTGTCAGGCCTGACTATGATGTTGTGCGGTGTGAGTGAGTGACTAGCAGAGCCAGAAACTGTGTGGTGGGGCTACAGAAAATAGGGTGGGCCTCTTCCAAAACCATTACCTTAGTGATACCAGCCAAAATCACACAATTACAACCATACCTGCCTACAAAGGTGTAGGTTCGGTCTCACCACAGCTGGTTTGGTCCCAGAAGTACCAAGCGGCAACCTCCAAGGCTGAGAAATGAAGCCAATGTGAAAAATGAAGCCAATGCAGAAGTGTCGGTTAATATTGTTGAAAAATATGGTAATGAGTAGCCATATTTAGTAGTTTGTGACTAAAATAAAAGTAACCTCTGGAATCACTGTTTCCATTTAAGGATATTATTATTATTATTATTATTATTAACGACTTAAATAGCCTAATAAAATGGTTTGGACAATGGGCTGATGCAACTGCATGTTATGATGATATATTCTGACCATTTTGGTCAGTTATCACTTTCAAATTCAGCAGCAGTCTGTAGGTGGTAACATCACAATTGGCCAAACTTGTGAGTAAGATCGCACACAGAAAACAGTTGAAGGCGGTTTGACAGTAATAAAAAGAAGGGGTGTGCAGGGTTGATCTGCATGGATGACTCTCAGGCCTACATCTATTCTTCGGCTATTGACAACCTCTCCCTTTTCAGTTTGCATGACTGGAGCTCTCACTAGCGCTGCTAGTGGACAATCAAACCTACACACCCACCTCCAGACTCGCATTTCTCATTTCTTGCTTCTAGTCTAAATTAGATAGCAAGACGTAGTGTCGGAGCTCACAGATCGCGCACAGTTAGTTTCACGTATTAGCGGTAGTTAAACAGTAAATCTTGAATTCAACATGGAGTCCCCTCCAGATCCAGCGAGCGACCCGGGCAACAGCGCCTCGGAGCCGGCTACCCCGGTCAGGGAAACCCCGGTAAACCTGGAGACGCTCCGGAAAGCGGACCATCCAGCCCCGGTTCGAAGGCAGACCTGTTCAAGCACCAACAGAGGTAAGCGGACCTTATTTCGAACAATGCTGTACAGGGGATATAGACCGAGCAAAGATATTTTAAATAAAACTTCAAAGTGAATTAAATCGCTTCCCTATAAATAACTGCACACTGTCTAAATTCAGCCAACACGCACACGGCTTTTTATACTGTACTATACCGCGGCTTTTGGCAGTATACGGTTGTAATTAGTGCCTCGGTGTGTGTTGCTGGTGTTCTGGCTCCAATGACAGCTCAAATCCTACGGTCACAGTTGTCACATTAATGTGACTGCGAGATGAATCAATTACCCAGTAACTTAAAACTGACCAGCAGCAGCTTTTCTCCCAAACGGGCCAAAGTGCCCGATCAAACGCGATACTGTCAGTGTCACAAGTGAACTTTTGGAAACTGTGTGTTAGTTTATCGATCAGTCCCATTCCCTCTTGTAGGGACATGTCCTCCACTACTGATACAGCCCACAGCGCCGTGTGGCTGGATTGGCTTTTCTTTGTTGTTTTTCCTTTTCTTTTCTATATACAATCTCCAGCTAACAGATTTAGACTTTTAGGCTATTCCTGTGCGTAAAAGACGCATCAGCAGCTGGAATTTGTTTAGCGCCAGCTCTCAAACAGTGTGGCAAGCAGGAAGACACTACCCGGCTTTTGTTGCAACTAAATGTCCTCATCATCCAAGAGGAAGAATAAGAAAAATAGCCGTGCACAGGGCTGTTTTGTCAATTAGCCCGTCTGTCTGCGTTGCTTCTGAGGACTAGGTCATTTTGCATGATTTATCCCCCACGTCCCGTCCATGTTGTACAGTACAGACAGTATTTAACCACACCCCCTCTCGGCTGTCTCGAGTACAGGCTAACTGTGCTCATCCAAGTTCAAAGAAATTGTGAATTGTCTGCTGATTGTTGATGAGCAGATTGGTATGCGTAACAGTGAGACGAAAGGTGTAAACGTGACAGGTCATTGCACAGTGGTTTTTGTTTAGGCTACTCTCCGTGTGCTGGGGATAGGGTATATTTAGAGTCTGATATGGTGAATGTGGAATGTAAGCTGGTTATGTAACAGGTTTAGCCATAAACAGACGCGCGGAACTGAGGGCAGAAATCGTTATTGCAGATCTTCTCACCTCATACAGGAGCTCACCCACTTCCCATGATTACCACGAGTGTTTAATAAAAAAAAATCACTGCCCTTTTGCGCGTATTCATATCTACCACTGGAAATGAACTGTGTGACTTTGTGGGCTGGCGCAGCCTGAGCACTTACGTAATAGCGGGGCCAAGACAAGTAGTTTGGAGGCTTCGTGGATTGATTTCTTTTTTCACAAGTCTGACTTTGAGACACTCCTAACCTGCTGACCCATATTCACCCCGCTCCTTTATGCACAGGATTAAAGTGCGTCTGGGAAAGAGAAAGACAGGAAAACGAACGCTTTTGGTCTGTTATGTAATGCTGAATGGGTGGAAAAAACATGTTCAGTGAGACAACCTCTGCAGCTTAAAAGGAGTTTCCTTGCACTGAGACTTTATTTTGACCTTTTTGCAAAGAATAGCAATACTTGTTAGAGTATTAACAGCAGAAGACTTGAGGCCAGATGTTTAGGCAACTTCTGAAAAACTTACTGTAAGTTAACATTTGTCCAAAAATCATTATGATGAAATCCATAAATTAATTTACTCTCATGTTCAACTGTATAGCTCAAATTTTAAAGCATATAGGAAATCACCTAGTGCAGTCTGTCATACAGGCAGACCCCAGTATAGTTTTTAATGTGAGTGTGTTTGTAACGTATAACACCACAACTATGGTCCCCATTAGTTTTAAACCACTTAACTTTGCTCACAAAACAGCTAATTTCTGAATGTAGTACTGTAGATCTATTCAGGACATTCTCCACACGAGAGAGCAGATTAAAAGTTTGCTTTCGTAAACAAATAATTGTTTAATTTCTTTATTTAAAAAGGGTTCATGTAAAAGAACAAGCGCCCTATTAAGAAGTAAGTGCAGTTGGTTTAGTGCAGATGGCTAAAAAAAAAAAAAAAGTAAAAGAAGAAGTGTCGTTCACATGAGTGTAACTTACTTTTTTAGGACCAGAGCTCCACGCTCAGACTCCAGTTCCTCACCTAGCCACAGAAACTAATATCTGAAAGGTGGCAGACACTTGCTCAAGTGCGGTTTCCTTCCTTACAGCTGCATTAGGCTTTCTGAGGATGCACAGTTTTTGTCCTGCATGTAGAGCGTTACTGTTTTAGCCCTGAGTACTAATACCTTTTAAGTAGAAATGGCTTATTTCAGCAGGGGCTCTGCCGTAAGACTTGAGTGGGTCAGAGAACAGGCCTTGGAGGGCTATGGATATCATTACTGGAAAGAAGAAAGGATGTTATTTTTATATTGCAAGATCCCTCAGTTTGTAAATTTGGAAACAATCAATATTAATGTTTGGTTATGTAAGGTGATGGTTTCTGCAGAGGCATAAAACCCCACAGCTGTACAGGGAAGCTCTGAAGCCATAAAAGCTCCACTGTCTGTAAAAATCCTCTGTTGACACAAGTTTGAGTGTCAGAGCTGTGTGTATATGTGTGTGTCACAGTGCTATAGTAGTAGACTTCACTGAGTGATACTGACCGCTCCACTTATTCTCTTATGCTGTACAATGACAAAAAGTCATCTGAAAATCATTTTCCTTCGTTAGGGAGAAAGAGATGATGACTACCCATAAAGAACCAAAAAACATTATTTTAAAGTTGTGAATTACTTCAAACAAAAACCAGACAAATCCTGCACATTGCTCATCAGCAGGGTGCAGGATTTGTCTTGTTTTTTTTAATTATCCTACGCACCTGCAAAAAAGACTTGATGGTGTGCGAGAATTGTGTTTGAAGTATCACAAAGTTGTGAATTATGAAGTGGTTTCCAACAGTGGAGAATATTGCTGTGCATCCTGGTTTTTAGTTTGCCTCAGTGCCATATCTAGATAAGTTTTTTTCCATACTAAAATCAGCTTTCGTCCAGTTATTTCACAACATTCGGTCGTAGTGTATATCGCACTATTGCAGGTTTTAGTCTTAAGTGTTCATTTCATAGGAAACAAATATTATCTGACGTTACAGTTTTGGAAGGTGAGCCAAACTAAAAAAGCAGAATATAAAAATATTCCGTCTCCTCTTAATGTGCATATAATCAGACAGTTTTATTTTTGGACAGCAAAATGAGAACTCACTGCAGAGTGGCAGCATTTATTTAGTTGTTGTTGACACAAGACAAATGGGATGCAGGGACGCAGAGGCTTAAAAAAGAAAGTTGTCACACCAAATCTCAGAAAGCTGGGATTTGGCATGAAGTTTGCATGCCACTAGAATGGACAGCAGTGTTATAGAGGCTGTGGCATTCTCAAATTCAGTGAATTGGAGACCACGAATGCACAGGTACCGTACAGACTTACAGCTGAGCCTTCAGCTCAGATGGATCGGTGAGAGGAACTCCATTAGGTGTGACTTTTTTTTTATTTATTCCTAGGTGGCTGCCTATAACAGATTATCAAGTCTCGGTCCTCCTGCGTTTTTCATTCATAAATGTGGGTGAGGTGATAATATCATAAACTCTTCTTTTAATTGGTACCTGTCAGATTTATTCACATTAAAGTCTTCTCTTCCCTACAGTATAAAAGCAATCAGTTTGAAAGATGAATAAGATAAGCAGCATTTCTTCAACTGTACACCGAGCTAATGTAGACATGGACGTCTGATCTGAGTTTAGACTTTGGCATCACTGCCTATAAAAAAAAATAAAATCTTCTGTTCTTATGATCCTCAAAGGAGCACCAGTATGCTTATCTGAGGAGGATGTGAATGTCAATATAACATTATGATTAGGAGTTAAATAAGCGCTGACTGAAATTTTGTCATGTCAGTTTAGAGGCTGTTTCTTTCTTGCTGTCAGTTCAAAATAATAAAAATATAAAAAATGATGAAATATTGTTTTGGTTCAAATTGGCTTGCTCATTTGTACCTTACCTTGGAATGAAAAGTTTTCTTTTATTTACCTCGTTTCTCCCTATGGTTGGTCTGATTACCTGTTGTACACACAATACTTGATTGTGAAGTTTTGGATATGTTTGTAGCATATTGCAATTTTAATGTTTAGTTAATTTTATTTTTTTTTCCTGGTGCATTGTGTTTCTGCATCTAGAAATTCTGGGTGGTATAATGTGACCTTTGACTTTTTTTTATAGAAACTCTGTTTCCAGTTAATAAAATGTCTTAGTTGTGATATATATGGCTCAGATTTACTTGTAAACTCATAATATTCAAATACTTAAATTAAGTCTAAATCCTTTTGGGGGAAAATGTCAAATTTTACAAAACAAACGACAAACAAACCTCACCTTGTAAATTAAACATTTTTGGTGCTTTTTATGTTTACATTTCAGACATGTGAATGTTCTGATCTCCGCTGGTGAGAGTGCAAGGCTCAGAGACGACTCAGTCACTTTTTTTCCAGGGTGCCCTAGCAGGGCTTTAAAATTGTCTTTTTTTGTCATTATCATTGGAGCATTTACTCTTCCACATCTGTAATGTGAAAGGTTTGCAAATCATGCAGTAACCTGTGACGATGTAGAGCAGAGCGCTGTATTTGGCTTGAGGGAGGCTGCTTGAAAGGACTCCTGTGGATTTTATTGTAGGAAACTGCTTTGTAGATACACTGTTGGTCCTCCTGAGCCAGTGACAATTTACACACTGACAGGACATTCTTGTTGTTAGGAGGCAAGGCATACCATGTCCTGAGTTTCCACTTGATCCATGTTTCTCCCTAGTAATTTGAATGTTAAGTTGGCTGAAATTTGGATGCATTTATATCAAGCTTGTGCAGATGTGTTTTCATAATTTGCATTCTATGGCAACTTTACACAATGCAGAAAACTCAATTCAACATGCATTCAAGTGATTCAAGTCCATCTGCCTTTAATCAGCGCAGGACTTTTTGTGGGTTTTTTTTCTTTTTTTTGTT